TCCTTCTTGTTTAAATTTCCAATATAATTTTGAACTGACCTTATGCATTCGAGACAGTTTTGCAGCGACATACGGTACTCAATACATCATTTTATTTTTAAAAAAATCTGTAAGATTGTGACAAGGTGTAAATTCCAGACTTTTTCAACTACATATTCCTCCACTATTCTATGTGAATATTATAACCATAGTGTATGAAGAGGTATTTTTAGAGAGCCATATTTAGGTTTAAACTATATGTGAAGTATGTCAGGGAAAATTAATTTGATGATGGCTTTATGCATTGGCCTGAACATTCATCGGCTCAGTGTTTTCTCCAATAGAAGCACACCAGACTTGTCTATAAAGCACTTACTCTTTGTGCCATGTTTAGAGAATGGAACTAGAGTCATTTCCATTTAAGACTAATAATCAGCAGGAAAACTTACAGTTTTGGCAGCTCTCTACCTCTCTCAACCTGATTTATCTTACAAGGAACTGATTTATTGACTTAGTAAAGATTATGTCCTATTGAATTGGGTTTGGGCTATCCAATTTCTTCTTACGGGAAATGTAGATGTGTGTTACAATGTAAATAAATGCCATCTCAATCTTTATATTAACCTTGGAGCATCCTTATCTCACTCTATTTACAGCCAGAGTTTTACATGTTGAAATTGACGATTCCTGCTGCAATTCATAGCCACATAAAGCAAAATCTCAATACTGTAAAGCTTCTCCCGAAGAATGTTAGCTAAACTTGCCAATGTTTGTTACATCATATTGCAATTCCTATTTTAATATGCATGAAACATTATCTTCTGGCGTCAGTGCACATGTAGGTTTTTGTTGTGGAGGTTGTTTTTTGCATGTCTAAAAGAAAACAGAAAAAAGACTCTATGTTTACCTTTTAAAACATTTTTCATTAAATCTTATCCATGCAAAGTTAGAGGCAGCTGTTGATATATGCAGTTAAATCAAAACAGGGCATGGAGTAGGAAACAGCAGTGACTGTATCTAATTAATATAGAGATAGATTTTTTTAAAAAAAAGCAAAACCTTACATCATCACCAAACACATTGACTTTTCTTTCTTAGTTGTTTCCTTATTTATAAATTAAATGTTTAGATTCCTCCATTTTGATTTTCCTTCTTGCCCTTTGGGTTATTTGTTCAAAGGGACCCCTGTCTGAAGTATTGCAGCAGAACAGATTCAAAAATGTCTGTTCAGAGAAGGAAGTGAAGAGTTTTGGTTCCCATTTTGCACTTCTGGAACAGTTTAAGGAAGGAAGCACCTTTACACCTTTTATTGTTCGTGGTTGCTGACATCATGTCCTTCCCTGACCACTCAGTGCGTGTTTCCTGCCATTCTGTCAAGACGCTGCTGTGATACTGAGTGGTAGATGGACAGAATGTGTAAGAGAGCAGGCAGAGAAGAGACTGCAGTGTGTGGATTTGTCCACTGGAACTCAGATTCTTCTTCCCTCAGCTGTCTCTGCTTTTGCCAAATTGTAAAGCGAACAGAAGCCCGCCAAAATGAAGTTCCTCATTTTAGCAAACAATCTGATTTTTTTTTGTAAGTGTTTGGGTTTCTGAAAGGGGGAAAATGCTGAAGGCAGTAATTTTGAAGACTGAAACATCAACATTTTTAATGCATATAATGCTGTCATTGTTTTAGAAGATTTCTTTAATGTAGACCTATTTGGATAGGGTTTCTAGAATAATTTAATTCATAGTTTTGGGTGGTGGACATTCTTTAGAGCAGCCTAGAGCTTGTGCTATTGTTAATTATTATTTTTTTGAGAAATGCATGGTAGGTTTTCATAGGCAACTTTTAACTGAAAGTTGATCTTGTAGAAGTTTCACAAGCAGGTGGTCAACATACTTTTAGATATTTGGCAATATTAGAGGGTAGATGGCTCATAAATTGACTATGCTTTTAAATTTATCCCACAATATCTTTACTAAGTATGGGTTTGAATCATCCATCCATACATACATACATACATACATACATACATACACACACACATACATATACATATATTCTATTTTTAGTTCATGCATGCATATGAGTGTATTTATAGAGGTATTTTTCTGCTATCTTCAGGCGGGGGGGTGGGTGGGGAATCAGCTGGGGAAAAAAACCTAAAACCCTACAAAGCCACATTTGAGCAAAAGCTATTCTTAATCTCTGTTGTTTATAATTGATAGTTGTATCTCTGAATCATGTGTATGTTTCTAAGTGCCTGCGTATGTGCACATATGTATGTATGAATTAGTGAGTGTTTACAGATAGAAACAGTGAACATACTGTTAAGCTTCTTGATCCTCCACATTCCTGTATCTGAGAAGCAGCAACGATCAATGTTTCCTTTTTAAATTGCAAGGGTTATTCTCTCCCCCCCCCTCTCCACCATTACCACCAACTTGTCAACAAATTGTTGCTGCAAACAGGCACAATGATTCAAATTCATCTTTTAAATTACAGTGATACAAATGTGGTGTTCTGTCAGTCTCCTTAGTAGGTTTGTTTGCTGGTTCCAAGAGATATTTGTGAAACTAATTTTAGAATATTTTATATAGTTGCTGAATGTTTAACGTTCCTGACACCGGACTGTTTCTATTTTTCTTTTTCTTTCTGAAAGCTCGATATGAAATGTGGAACTGATAGTGTGTGGGAGGGGCTAACCATGCTGCTGTTTTACCCTGGCTCTGCTCACAAGATCCTGCAGACAAGAGTGTCAGCATTCAGTGATTTCCCGTTCTCCCCCTATTCCTCCCTCCACCACCCCCCGCCTAAAGTTTTTCTCATGCAGGCTTCAGACTCTGGATGTGTAAAGCAACTCTCATCCTGGCTAACTGTCACCACTTCTTTAATCTGCCCACTCTGACCTTCCACCCTCAACCGAATAAGAGCTTAGGCAGACATAAGGCTGTAAGCCAATAGTGCCTCTGGCTCCACGTGAGTGAATGAAAGGAAAGGAAATTGTCCCATATGTTTTTGCTGTGGATTAGTCTATGGGTTGTGTATGTGGTGGAGAAAGCCTGTTAAACCTCTTTGGGTTCATCTCGTACATGAAAATTACCTGGCTTTTTTAAAATCAGAGGTAAGAATCACTATTTGGTATGGATGGGAAGTGGGGACAGGAGAAAGGCTAAGGAGATGCTCCCAAGAAAAAGTACAGTCAAAAACAAATAAACATGTATAGCAGTAACTGCCATTAACTCTAAGGGACTATGACATGTTCAAATGTATATGATATGCAATACAGTTTTAGAGAGGTTGTTTGAATTTTACTCTATTTCTGGATTATTATAAACAGATCAAGTTGCATAAGTTAACATTGTAGAACTGTACAAATGGAACTGTTTTACCGACACATAGCCTGATTTAGATAGTTATGAAAACATCAATTCTGCAGTTTTTAATGCTATAAAGTAATAGTATCCGCAATTATATTATGAAAACATTATGAAATATAATGCTGATTTGCAGTATAACAGTATACATTTCTAACTATGGGTAAGCTTAGTGAATTCTAAGGGATTTATTCTCTAAAAAGAATATTTAAAATTGCATCTTCAGAGTGTATAGAATGTGGAATTTGTGTGAAAGTAACACATGTTCCCTTCAATTTCTGTTTAAAAGACAAATATCTTTCAACTAAGAAAAGGAAGAGAAAGGAGGACATCAAAATGAGAATCAGTTTTATTGCATGAAAAACAGTACATTGATAAATCATTGCTTCTTATTTTTACATAATTGTTCAGGTTGGCTGTAAGAAAAACCAGTGTCCAATTAACCAGAAAAAACAGTCTGCACATGTATATGCTTTTAATTAATAAATAATTTTGTTATATCAGAATTGTGTATAAAATAATCATCCTGCAACATGCTCACTCACCTAAAATAATCTGACTAATAGGAATAGGATTTTACTATGATATGCAGTATATGAATATGGAAAAGCTGATTTCTCCAACTAATGTTGAAATCTTTTCATGACATTTACAGCCAACTTTTAGGATTGCAAAAAGCTACTGAGAAATTTCTGTCTTTAGGTTTTATGTAATTTGAGTTATATTCTTATAATTCTATTGGTTTTTAATTCACAAATATATATTTTATTTTTAGTTTATGTTTTGCAGTGGGTTGGATTAATATTGTGGTTTCTAGCATTTTGGTGGAGGACTTTTAAGAAGAGCTGCCATGTGTTTGTGGATTTTTGGTGCAATTATGACTTTTTACAATGTGGTTTTTGTTTGTTCGCTTGCAGTGTATAAGATTTGGTACATGTAATATATCAACAACTGTTCTATTTATTGTGTTTCCTGTAGATGGAGATATATACAAATGTATTTAGGAAATATATACATACTAAACTATGATAGAAGGATGAATACTTTTTTCTTTTGAAATCTTTTTAAATGCGAGATAATTTTAAAAGATTTAAGAATCAGCTGACATTTCCCATATATCAAATAAAACATTAATAAAATAATGGTCCAGCCTATTTGCATAATAAGAAGCATTATTATCTCTTCTGTTTTCATTCAAAAGTGAATTAGCTTGATTACTTAGCTTGCATAGGTATGGAAGGCTTCATTAACTCTCTGATTCAGGTAATTTTTCATATTTCTGACGATGTATTACAGAACAGAAAAATGTGCATCGATGAAATGGAGAGCATTTACTTTAATTGTTATAGTGATGCCTTAAAAGGATTCTCCAACACTTACACTTTGAATCTTGTCTTGTATGCATGAATGTTCTAAATAATTGTCTGTAGAACTAGAGTGCCAAAGGTATTTAAGAAAAACCTTGACAACCCATCTGTCAGTAATTAATAATGATAATGCCGAACCATTCTTGACTTCATTTCTAATGTAGTTGCTTATTTAGCAGTTCTACGTGCTAAATGTATTCAAGCTACTTGATAAAATACCACAACTAATCAAGTTATATTGATAATTTGTCTGAGTAACTTAACTATTCACTTCTTTTGTGTACTTGGCAGGAACGGATGCAGGGGTCTGTGAATTGAATTGTGTAAGTGCTGAAGAAGGAGTCTTGGTTTGAGGAAACAGGAAAGAGGAAGGAAAGAGAAGAAGAAAATACAGAAGTGTAGGAACGAACGAAAGAAGAAAAACGGGGACTATGGGGAGAAAAAAGATTCAGATCACGAGGATAATGGATGAACGTAATAGGCAGGTAAGTTGAAATTTAAAAATTCAGTATCATCAGATCTTATAAAGTCTAAAATTGTCACATGTGCACTGAATCAATGGGACATAATAATGGATCATAATATGTGTTTCATGTGTAGTTTTCAATTTATATTGAACTATTAACATACACACATATTTGTAAAAGCAAATTATTCCTGGAATTCCTTATCTCATGAAATGATTGATACTTAATGTAATATTTTTATTAAAGCAAAACACACTTCATTTTATCATCCATATAACTGCTTAGTATCTTAATTTGAAATAATCCAGTGATCAAGATAATGCATATAACTCTTACCATTTTTAATGAACTGATTTTTGAAACTGACTAGGATCATATTGGATAGTTATATTGTTTAATGCTAATTTTGTAATGTAAAACATAACATGGTAGCACTTTGTGGACTTGTTTAAATTGTTATCTTATTTTAAAAATTCCTTTTATGAAATCTGAAAGTTCTCAAGATAGAATTTCTAGTTTTATCTGGATAATTCTGAAATGTCAGCAATACATCTTCCATCAATACAGTAACCCTATATAGAAATTACTTCTGGAGAAATTAAATTGTTGTTTAAAATTAAGGCTGTAATTGTTTTCTATGAAAAAATGTATAGAAACAAAGAAACAATCATTAAAAGTCAACACATATTTGCAGGCATGTAAAAAAAAAGTTTCAAATCTGCCAACCAGAAGAATAACAGATGTGACTATGTATCTTCAAATATGTTATGGATGCATGCTACATCTTGGGTTTAGATTAGGTTTTGAAAATGGGAACATGTTCCATTTAACTCATTTTAATTGATTATGCAGATCCAGAGGCTTATGGGTAATTGTTTCTTTCTATTCGAGCCACAGACAGGATTTCTAAGTATTATTATTATTCTTTTTTCCTAACTAGAACAGTAAGAAGTCTTAATCTTTACCCTTTTAATCTTTGTGCTGTCTTTATATTCCAATGCAACCAGGGTATCTGTAACTAGCAAGCAGCTTTTTGCCTGTATCCCTCTTGCTGATCAGTTGCATTCCCCTTATAAATATGATGCAACGTTGGAATAATTTATAGTTCTAATTTTCAAGTGAGTCTTGTGTAAAATTTGAAAACACTGCAATTACAAGCATAACTTGACCTCTTCATGGCAGAAAATCAAGTTTCAAATAAAGGCAACAGTGATAATACTTGATAGATTCATTCAAAGTCTTCCCTCTAGATTACTTATTGTTCTGGGAAAAATTAAAAAGCATTAATTTTGTCAGTAGCAAAGTCTCATATCTGTTTTAATTGTTTATTCTTTGGAATTTAAATTGAAATATAAAATAGAGGCTAGCAGCGTTAAGGATATAGACATTGGTAAATTTTACCGTAATTCTTTTAGCCATTTTCTTTCAAGTTATGTCAAAATAAATTTAAAAGTGGAGGGAATTTAAATGTCTACTTATTTTTTTAAGGGAATAAAGTTTGCTCATACATCAGATCTTTTCTTTTAGGCAGACATGGCAAAAATTTCAGATGATATATTTATAAGAATAGTGTTTTCTGCTTTTATTGAAAAACTTCTGTATATTCAAAATACAGATGTTATTTAGTCAAATATTTGAATAAAATATTATTAAAAAATAAGAATGTAATATTTAATAAATATCAATGACCAGAAACAGGATCCAGCCACAGCTAAGTTGTGCCGATTTCAAGACAGATTTAAGGCACTGGATTTTAAATTAGTTAAATTTAAAAGAGCTTAACATTGACTCAATTATGCAAAATGTTCTGGAGGGTTAAAGGCCATTATATTTAATCATAGTAGTTATTTTTCTATCATTTCATTTGAAATTGTCTCTCTTATTCTTTGTTAAAATGCTTGCACAATACTTCTGGCACAATTGATAGAGATGAATTCTGTTGTTGAACTTGTTTTTGAAAAT